GACATCGACCTGCCCTCTGCGGTGAAATACCTGATCGCCACCGACCCCAACCTGCAGGTCCTGGGGGCCGCCTACCTCCAGCACAAGTGCTACAGCGACGGCAATGCCAAGAAGCAGGTGGGCACCCAAAAGCCAAAGGGGAACATTTCCCCCCCACACACACACTTCCCCGCCTCGGCATTGGTGGGGCCGCTGTGGGAGGGTGAAGGAGATGGAGGGAGCCCTGCGCTCTCTCTTCCCCAACCAAGCGGGAGCAAAGAGCCAGCAACCAGCTCCCTTGGGCGCAAGCGGCACGAAGGAGAGACCGCGTGGGGAGCGCCGTCCGTGGCTCAGCCCAGCCGGGCCCTCTCTTCCCAGGCGCGCAGCCTCCAGGCCATGCCCAAGCTGGTGAAGCTGTTCAACAGCCCCAACCAGGAGGTGCAGCGCCATGCCACGGGCGCCATGCGCAACCTCATCTACGACAACGCGGAGAACAAGTTGGCCCTGGTGGAGGAGAATGGCATCTACGAGCTCATGCGGACGCTGCGGGAGCCCGACGACGAGCTCCGCAAGAACGTCACAGGTCGAAGCGGGCCCTGGGGTGGGAGTGCGGCAGGGGTCCTCCTCTGCCGGGGTGGCAAGGAGCTCGTGGTCCCCCGGCTGGGGATAAGGCTAAGGAGTCGCTTCTAGGGGACGACTAGAGGACGGGCACATGAGAGCGTGCAACAAGTGTAACGAGTGCACCAACACCTCCGTCCTCAGAGGACAAGATCTGGCCTGGTTAACGGTGTAGTGGAGCCTGTCCATCCTTCATCCCAGTGTTGCTCTTCTGCCTTGCTCGTGGCAGGATGCTGGGACTGAGACCCAGCCTGGCCAAGCACGGTGACCAAGGGGAGGACGTGGCAGTGGCCGTGGGGCAGAGGGTCCCCGGGGTGGGTTCTGAAGCAGGGCCGTGTCCAGCCCCCCTGTCCAGCAGGGTCGTTTGTGGCTGTGGTGCCAGGCTGGTGCCAGGAAAGGTCGTGCCACCCCTGTGGATCTGGGTCCCATCCCCACCCTGAGCTGCCCCACGGCGGTGCCAGGCCACGGGCAGTCAGAGTGAGCCCCTCGGGACGGACTTGCTCCTCGGCCGTCCCGCGGGACCGAGCTTCCCTCTCGGCACAGGGATCCTGTGGAACCTCTCCTCCAGTGACAACCTGAAAGACCGCCTGGCCCGGGACACGCTGGAGCAGCTCACGGACCTCGTCCTGGTCCCACTCTCTGGTCTGGGCAGCTCGGGCGTCATCCAGCAGAACCCATCGGAGGCAGAGATCTTCTACAACTCCACGGGTTTCCTCAGGTACCTGCTCTAGGCTACCTCCCCCGTACCAGTCTTCTTGCTGTGGCCGTAGCACCAGGGCCAGCCGGTAGAGGTTAGGGTAGGTGACAGTGAGCTGTGTCAGCTGGCTGCCGATGAGGTGACCAAGGCCCTCAGAGCTCTTCTGCACAGTCCCCGTCCCTTGCAGCTCTCGTGCACTGGGGCTAAGCCTGGTCAAGCCCTGGGGTCAGACAATAACCTGCGTTCCCCACGCAGAAATCTCAGCTCTGCCAGCCAGCAGACGCGGCAGAAGATGCGTGAGTGCCATGGGCTGGTGGACTCCATGATCCATTATGTTAACAGCTCCCTGGAAGTGGGCAAGTCAGAGGACAAGGTGAGCCCTGGGCCCTGCTGCGCTTGGAGGGTTTGGGGTTTCCTTGATGCCCTCCGAGGGGGTGTATCTGCTCCCTCCCCAGAGGTTTTGGCTGCTGCCTTGCACCCTGGCGGAGATGTCCTGGCTAGTGGGGTGAGGATTGACACCCCCATACCCTCTCCCCCTTCCAGAGCGTGGAGAACGCCGTCTGCGTCCTGCGAAACCTCTCCTACCGCCTGTATGATGAAATGCCCCCGTCCTCGCTCCAGCGCCTGGAGGGCCACAGGAGGAATGACAGCAGCACCATGACGGGAGAGCTGGTGGGCTGTTTCAGCCCCCAGAGCAAGAAAGCACGAGAGGTCAGCAGCTGGGACAGGGTTGGGGAGTGGGGGGCTATGACCTTCTTGCACGGTGACAGCCACATCTTGTCAGGCGGGGAAGCACTGAGAAGTGGCCAGGGACTGAGGTGACAACAGGGTGGAGGTGGACACAGGCCCTGGCTGTTGGGTGGGACACGCAGATGAGCTCAGTGAACGATGAATCAGGCACCTCTTGCACGTGGGATGGGTGGAAATGGGTGCCAAACTCCTTATGCCGAGGCATGTGACGCATCCAGAGTGACTCGTGGGGGCCCTGCCAAGCTGGGCAAGCTGTAGGCTGGCAACATGGGCTTAGGAGCACTTCTGCTTGTGTGCACGTGTACGAGGACCCCTGTGACATCTCCAACCTGAGAGCAGGGCTGGGGCCCTGCAGAGGGATGGAGCGAGAAGGAGGCCACGAAGGGCAAATCCCCCAGGGCGGCTGCCCGACCCCACAGGTCTAACGGTGTCACCCCGCTCCTGGCCCCGCAGCACTACCTGAACGCGGACATCATCACCTTCACCGAGGTCTCCAAGGACCCCAAGGGCATGGAGTGGCTCTGGAACCCACAAATCGTCGGCATCTACAACCGGCTGCTGCAGCGCTGCGAGCTCAACAAGCACACGACGGAGGCCGCCTCGGGGGCCCTGCAGAACATCACGGCCGGGGATCGCAGGGTGAGCACGCAGACGGGGACTGTGCCTGCTGCCGGCTCCCCCCGGGCCCGCCCTGTCTTGCCCCCAGGCTGGGGGATGGCCCTGCTGCCCGGGCAAGCCTTGGCCCCCCCT